CACCTTTTTAAACGGTAACTGTAACGGAATACAGTTACTCATATTTTGTATTTTAAATACGTAACGGCGGTACATGTATTCCGTTACTCCCCAACACTGGTTGGTGTTTCAGTGGAAATGCACACACACACACACACACACACACACACACACACACACACACACACACACACACACACACAGAGAGAGAGAGAGAGAGATAAAAAACAGACCTGACTTGTTGTGAATGGCAAACACAGCCAGCATCATCATAGCACGTTGCTTGTTTCAGTGTCTGATAGGAGGCAAACGTATAAAGACCCTGTGCTTTGTGCTCTCGACTGGATTCCCTGGCTGGTTTTGCAGCATAAGACTCCAAAAAGAGCTGGATAGCACACTGTTGTGTTGGCTTCATGAAATTCCAGTGGCCACTTGAAGCTGTGACCTTGCCTGACAAGGCTTGAAGATGTTGCTGATGATCTGAATATAAAGAACACTTATGACGATTGCTAGCTGCTCTCATGCAGGCGCTTCAATCAAAGACAGTAAAAACACATCACAGCTAAATGACTTGAAGTGTGAAACTCGCTGTTCTGAGTGAGTTTGAAGCAGGGTCCTCGTGCCTAATGTGGGCATGGATGGCAGTGCTCGAGCTCCAGGCTGATGGTGGACACTGAGGGTAACTGTCGAGGAGGACAAACTGAATTTTAATGCAATCAGGCTGTTTGTGCTGTAGTGTTCAGCATCAGCACAGATCAACTTTGAGTTAAGAGTCCTCTGTCACATTACTCACTCGCCTGCCAAATCTGAGCAACTCCTCATCACTGAGCTGACAGCAGGCCATAGTTTTTTCTAATCATGCAGGGTAATTAGTCTCGCTGGGGGATTTTTAATGCAAAAGTACAAACAGGATGAAGTGTGAAGTACTGGCATGTGTCTGCAACCTAAAATGATTCTTTTTGTTTTGAATTAAAGAGGAGAGGGTGCAGGACCTCGTGGGCTACTGAGTAAATGTGTCATTGTTGAAGAGGATTTTTCACATGAACACTCTGTTTACTTGGAAACGTGACAGGTGTCTTGGAAAAAAAGAACATCTTGAATTAAAAGTGACTTTTCCCCCTTAATCCTTGTATATTTATGAGTTTCTGCATCAGGGATCGCGAGCAGATGTCATTTCACCGAGGACAAATTCTGTCTTTGCTCCACACCTACAGAAATCAGCCCACAGCCAGGCCACCTGCAGAAGGCTTAAAGCGACTCCAGTATTGTCATCACTGAAAGTGGCAGGAGGGAAAAACAGGAGTGCTGCACAGAGGTTTATTCACTGATGTGGAATCTAATTGAGCACGACAGCACAGAAATATGTCACTGTAATGGAGATGAATTAGTCTTCCAAGTCCATCAACAACTATCAAAAAGGCACAGCACACTGACGAGCCCAGAGTCTGCACTGGGCAGACACGACTGTAGCTAATGTGCCACCTCCTCAATCATCATCACATTCAGTGGGTTTAGTGCTGGACAGTATGCAGATCTGTATCCCTTCAAAATCGTTCATGCTTGTTTTTAAACTTATTTTTTCTTCTTCTGGTGTCGAGATTTGTTGGGGATGTCTTTTCCGTTCCAGTCTTCTTTATTTTTATCTAAATCTCTGCGTGTCAGCCCCTTTGTTTTATTCATGCACATCTGTTTTCCCTTTCTTTGCTTTCAGACTCGCAGTGATAATATTTGCACAATTCTTCGAGCAGCATTTGCATGAATCATTTTGCTCAACTGCAAACCCACTGTTCAAAGTATTTTGTCACGAATATACAAGTGAGTATTTTTATTGAGGAGAAGGAGCCGTCTGACCCCAGCGTGATAAATAGACACCAGATGAAATGTGGCAGGTCCAGGAGAGCTGCGATGTGAGATTGTTCTGTGATGATTGAGAGCGCCGAGGAAAAAAAGGGCGCTCTAACCTGACGGGGCCGGCCTCGGTGGTTGACCGCTGCGTCATGCTCCCTCTTGGCACAAACAACAGCAAACATCCATCCACCCTTTTTCTGTTCCTGCTTATCTAGCACCGGGTCGCAAGGGGCTGCAGGATATCTGTGAGAGGTCAGCAGCCTGGAGGAACGAATATTTACACCCACAGGAAATGTAAAGACTTTTTATCAGAAATAATAAGTATTTGTTTCCAAGTGGACGGATAAGTTTGTATTTATTTTAAATTGTACACTCACCAGCCACTTTATTAGGTACACCTCGGGTTCAGTTGCTCATTAACAAAGAATGTAATATAATTATATATATATATATATAAAATATCTATAATTAGCCAATCACATCGGAGCAATTCAGTGCATTTAGGCATGTATGTCTAATTCAGGATTGAACTGAGCAGAAACAGGAATTGTTGGTTCTTATGGTGGATTCCTGAATTCCCAGTGAAGTTATTTGTGGAACAGCCACTCAGCTCGGACTTCCCACTAAAAAAGTCAAAGTAGCCCCACATGCCTAACACCAGCCACTGTTGTGTGTTTGTGACTCGTTGACTGAGCCAAACGCACAGTACTGACCATGAATGTGCAGCAGCTGTGTTTTTAAACGCACAAAAACATCTGATAAAGTGGCTGAGTGTATATTAACTATAGCAAAGCTAGTTCCTGTAGTTCATTGGTTCACACATTATTTCAGATGGCCGACAATATTTCTGGTTAAGATTCAAGATCAAGATGCAAGGTTGCTTGTTTGTCACATGCATAGTTATACAAGTACAACATGCAGTGAAATGTATGCTGGCACGCTCCTCGACGGTGCAATAGGGGAGAGAAGAACATTATTCTGTAAATATTAAGCCAGTTTTGTTGGGACACAGATGTCTTCAATCCTTAAAAACCCCAAAGAAACAACCCATGACAAACTAACACAGCACCTACAATGGATAACAATAAAGAAACACTGATATTGATGCGTATTTTAAAGATCCTGCGACAGACTGCCAACCTGTCCAGGTTGTGTGCCGTGCGGTGCCTTTTGCCCTCTCACAGCTGGGAAAAATCCCAGCCTTCATCCCCGTGAGTCTGAATCGGATTAAATGGTTATTAAATGGTTAGTTTGTTGGTTCATGATGGTTCATGTTTGCCTGTGTGAAATCAGCTACCTCTGTTGTTTATGATGGAAACACGGTAGCGCTCATGTGATGAGCTGGCAGCAGCAGGAGGGAGGGTTGGCTCTTGTGAACTCAGGCGACCGTTTGCTACTTCTGTCAGAGCAGATGATGGCTACACGTTTTTCAGCTTGCTGCTGTGACCCGGTGTGATCGCTATCTTGATGCCCTGAAGGCACGGCTTAAAAAAGCCACACACAGACAAGAATCCACAGTCACCCACCCACCCAGACATCATGCTTTTATTATTATAACTGAGAAGGTGAAAGCTCGTTCCGTAAGTTTTCCCGAACGTGTCTCTGAAACGTTTGGATCCTGACAGATTCCTGCCCGCTGGAACACGAGCGTCAAACATCCACAGTGAAAGTCACTGAGCTCGTGTTTGATTTCTGCCGTTTGAACAAATCCAACCATTTTTTCAGGCAGGATTAAAGAAGCAGTGATGTGGGAAGGGGTTTAATGTGGTATATTTAGCTAGTGTTGTTTAAACTTGGCCTTGAAATTGTTTTAGAAGCCAACGTGTAGTACCAGCAGTGTAGAAAGTAAAAATGCCCTGACCCCGTGTTCAAGTTTTCAGCATCTCCACTAAAATAGTTATCATGGTGCTCAGTTTTGGTGGAGCAAAAGAAGTATATGTTTTAACAATAAGACACACAAATCCTAATTGAGGCATTCACTCCATTCAGTCTTTGGTTCTTCCAACAAGCAAGTAATCCAGGCAGTCATTTCATTTCTGTGGCATCTTTATCATTGTTACTTATCTGGGAACATATATTGTTTCCTTGCACTTCATTTTCTCTTCATTGGAAGGTCTAATTTCCATTTATATTGCTACTTAATGCTCAGAGCGGCCCGTGGTGAGGTTAACTCGGGGAGCATCCTGACACAGCAGACGGCCCTCTGTGAGACAGCGCTGCTGACATGACTGACTGAATGTCAGCAGGCAGAGTAGGAGGTGTGTGTCTTCAAACACGAGTGTGCGTTTGAAGAGAAGGCAGATGCTAGTGTTTGCTATTCCACGTTTGCATTTGTAGTTAAGTGACGCGTGTTTGGCTGACAGCTTTTGGGTCAAAGGACTGAGAAGACATAAAGTTTTAATTTGAATTTGCCCATCGCTGCGCTGAGGTGAGATGTCTTCACAATACCCGCACTCAGTGGGAGGAGGACCAAAATATTGGTATGACCGTATAATACAATCTCGAAAAGTTGATTCAGGACGTAGCGTTTTGTGGGATAAACGTTTCATCATCATCAGGTGACGTCTTCAGTCTCAGCTGACTGCAGGTTTCAATCTTATAAACAGCACATTTGCATAATGACTGAAACCAGCCCACTGAAGGAACAATGGGCTGGGAGGTCAGGTCCTTAATCATAATTATGCAAATTCTCATGACCATTGATCAACAACCACTGACCAAAACCCACTGATCAATAACCATGAGTCCCGGTCACAGAGAGTTGGGGAATGGCTGCAATCACAGCATTGTAAGATGGTGACAGACGTACCCTTAGGCCCCTCCTCGATTCAGAGATGGTCTTTCCCTTTTCACGTAAATGGCCTCCTTGACTCCGCCCTCAAACCAGCGTTCCTCCCTGTCCAGGATGTTACATCCTCATCATTGAAAGAGTGTCCACTGGCCTGTAGGTGTAAACAGACTGCAGAGTCCTGGCCTGACGAGGTGGCTCTTCTGTGTTGTGCCGTCCTCTTAGCCAGAGGTTGTTTGGTTTCCCCGATGTATAAATCCTGGCAATCCTCCTGCACTCACCAGCGTACACTATGTTACTCTGTTTGTGTCGGGGGACCCGATCCTTGGGGTGGACCAGTTTTTGGCGCAGCGTGTTTTGGGGTTTAAAAGCCACAGCGACCCGGTGTTTAGAAAAAATGCGTCTCAACTGCTCCGATACTCCTGACACATATGGGAGGTTTTCGCTTAGGCAGTGGTTGTCCTTCTCTCCTGGATCAGCTGGAGCTTTCTTTAGGAGCCTTTCCAGCTTTGACAAAAGTCCAGCTGGGATAACCACATTTATTCAGGGCCTTCTTGATGTTCTTCTGCCTCCCTGGCTGCTGTGTCTGTGGGGATTGATCAGTGGTTGTTGACCAATGGTCATGAGAATTTGCATAATTATGATAAAGGAACTGAC